CATCTGGGTTAGGGTTTCTACCTAATAAGTCTTGGAAATCTATAAGGAGAGAAAGACACAAGAACGCAAATGATTCTTCATCCCAAGAGCAGTATCATCATCTCAGTCTGAACACAGTTAAGAAAAGCAAAAAATCGAGAGAACCTAACCTGAGGGTACTCACAGAGAACTCGATCTGCTATGTCATGGGCTGCTAAATAAATAAACAATGTCACAGCTTAAAAGGTGTGTGACAGAGGTCAATATTCAGAGCCAGCCTGGGTCTGCGGTTGGCAACCTCATTGCTGCAGATGGGTGGAAAGAAAACTCTCTGCCTTCGGATGCAGGCTTCCTTCCCCTTATTGTCAGCGCTCATGAGAAGCTTTCTTCTCAGTACCACCAGTGTTTAACAGCCACCTAGCATTCTTATCTGTACATGTGCCTCGCTACTGAACTAGTGCCCTGCTATGGCGTGTTTCAGAGATCGCCACTCATGTTTGACCGCAAGTCAATAGCAAAGTCTCCAATAAGTAACCTGCATTGTTTCTGTGACCATACAGGGAAGAAAAACATTATAATATATAAAGCAGAATTAAAGGTAATAAGTAAGTATGTTAAATCACTTAGTGGAAAGGGCCCATGCTCATGCTGGCAAGGCGACCCTGCATCAGCTTGGGCAGGCCTTCAGGAAAGGCCGATTCCATGCTTTGTCAACTCCTGTGTATTTGGATAGGGGACAATACTATTGTCCTTGGGATCTGATCTATGCATATGAATATCTACAAATCATTAAAAAAATTAATGGAGACCTTCTTCTTCTTTTTTAAAAAATTATTGCCTGTTATGTAACTGCATCCTCAGCAAAACTGCAATAAGCTTGCCACACAAAAAAGACTCAAATTCAACTTACAGATTCAAACTCAGCCAAATTAGACTTGATGAACACATGTATGTCTATGACTAGCTGAGCATGAATAGGTCCATATACTCTTCATGTACTCTTTACAACAAAGTATTAACATCCATGTGTGTAAGCAAAGAAAGTGAGGCTCTGAGAGGGTGAGTCTGTGGGCTAATCCACACGATAGCAGTGCGGTGCCGAGATGAAATCTGCGCTTACATTTCTTGGTGTCTTCCAAGTACCGCTGTTTCTCATGCCCTGTGGCTGATGAGACTCAGGTAAAACACTGGACCATTCATGCATTATAAAATAACAGACCTCTCTCTAGCTAGTGTCAATTTAATTGCAGAAAGAAGAAAGTGTGAAACAAAATCTTAACCTTATAGTTGAGAGGTGTGTGTGTAAAATAGAATAGAGGAACTTGTTATCACATTCTGCTTTCTTTCGTTGGAAATATATATATATATATATATATATATTATTCTTATATATATAAGTATATATATAAGTATAATATATATATTCTTATATATAAGTATATGTATATAAGTATAATATATATTCTTATATATATAAGTATATATATAAGTATTATATATATATATATATATATATATTATACCTTTCCAGAACTAGACCCATCGTTCCTCCAGCTATTTAAAGCAGAGGTGCTGAAGGTGCATGTCCCCATGCTCCGAGCATCTTAGTTAGAGGCTGCGAGTATTTCTGAAAGAAAACCCAGGAGACTCTGGAGGAAGATCATGAAGAGATGACACAATGCAGAGGCTCAAACACCTTCTTATTAAAGAGTCACTGGAAGGACGAGGCTGCAAGTGTGGCCTCCCCTAATGACACCTGCTTCTGCTACTTCGGGTTTGTGGGCAATCCCAGCATCTTATTTAGAATAAATTGCTTTAAATGCATAGATTCCTAGGGAGTAAGTGGTGTGTAATACAGCCCAAAATACCCTCTGTCAGTTGGACATCAGGGTATTAGAGGCCAGCTCTACAGGACACAGGCCTACTCCTGTATTCCTCTAGCTTTTGCCAGTTAGAAAGAGTGATAATGTAGACAGCATAGGAAGGATACTATCTGGAGTGAGGGCCTTGGGGCATGATTCATCTTGTGACTTGCTTATTGAGGCTTCCTATTTTAAAACTGGGGGTAAAAGACTTAGTCATGAGGCACAAATAAGACAAATACTTAAATAATTCTTCTTGGGTGCTGGAGAGATGGCTCAGCAGTTAAGAGCACTGGCTGCTCATCCAGAGGACCTGGGTTCAATTCCCAGCACCCCACATGGCAGCTCACAACTGTAATTTAAGTGCTGGGGGATTCCAACACCCTCATATGGACATGCATGCTGGCAGAACAAACAATGAACATAAAATAAAAATAAGTGACTCTTCTGGAAAATGCAAAGCCTGTATATGATGCAAGACTATGCAACTTGACCCAATAATTAGATGCTGCTATGTATAAAGCATAGGTATCCCTAACTAAGAGACATGGCCTTCAGTGGTGGTCACCATAGGTACCTGGATAAGGACCCCAGTGACCTCGAGTATTGAAGAGATGTCAGTAACCTTGACATAAGGCTGCTTGAGAGCAAAAATTATAAATATAATAGAACTCCAGCTAGTGTGCAATATGCTAGTGGAACCTTTATTCTATAAGATTGCAGACAACTGCAGAGGCAGCCAAGGGAGGTCAAACTGTCTGGCAGGCTCTACTTCTGTATGGCAGGCAGTGTGCATGATGAGAACCTAGTCAGTGCTAAAGTTCTCCATCCTCGTTATTAGTACTGTCACCTCACCTCTGATAACACTACCTGTCACCATCTTTGTCCTCATCAAGGCACCGAGGAAACTCCAGACAGCTGAAGTGACTTGGCTAAGGCCACACTGATAATCATACTGCCATCCAAGCTTTCTGGATCTCACCCAGATCTCAGAAACCTAAGTGCCTGTTTTTCCCCCTCAGGCTTCGGATATTGCTATTATATCAAGGATATTTTATCCGCATATATTCAAATCATCTCCTTCCTCCCTCATCTCTGCTTTAAGCACTGATTGCCAATGCTTTTTGTCAGACGATTTGTTTCTTTGAGAGAAGGTCCTTGAAGGTGGGTGGTTTGGGTTTGTGCTGAATGAACTAGTGGGTCTTGAGCTTTGGGGGAAAGGAGTGGTAAGGGGTGGGGGGAGGGCAAGCTGATTTAATGCACCTGCCCCAAGCTTCACTTCCATGACTTTAGAAGGGGAGTGATATTCATTTGGTGGTCTCAGCATGCCCTTTATCCCCTCAGACAAGTGGACCCAGGACTTAGTAACCAATCAGGCAACAGTTGGTCCTGAGACTCATGAATACCATGCTCATCCCACTCTAGACCCACAGGTCTTTGTAAAAGGGTTGCTGTCCTGGTGGATGGCAGAACATCACTGAGAAACTCCAGTGCACTGGGAAGCTTACTCACCGGCAGCCCTCACTCCAGGATTGTTAAGTCCAAATGAGATGAAGGATTATGACAAGATTGACAAGCAGGATATTGGGGCGGGGGGAATCAAGTGTTAAGCTGGTCCTGGCATTCCTGGGTGAAATATGAGCCATCACAGAGTACCTTCTCAGACCATGAAAGAGGAACACTGAAGTAAGATAGATCTTTTTGACAATTTAGGGACTTCCTGCTTGGAAAGCCAGAAAAAGCCAAGACCTACTCCATGGAGGGAGGCAGAATTTAGAAACCACCCAAGCCCCACGAATTTAAAGAACTTTGCTTGGCTTAATCTGCATGTTCTCCCGCTCTCTTCATAGCAGGAGAGGTTACAAAACCATGTACGTGTAAGAGGGAGAAAGACAAGGACCAGATGCAAGATGATGCCAGACTGTAGTGAGTGGGATAAATGTAGAGTCTCCTTACATACTCCATTCGCCTGGGTGAAAGCAGACGTCACTGGGTACCACCTATTGGAGAAGAGTGGAGGTACTTTCTAGAGAATCGGGCTCGCTAAAGTGGCCAAGAACCGACCAAGCTCTAAAACTACTTTTCAGTAAAATAATGACATTTAGAAGGATTTCCACAGACAGTGAGTTGCTTGATAAATATGCACACAGCTCTGGTGGTTGTCATCCTTTGGTTAAACCAGTTAAAATCAGTTCTGTAGGATTCTTCCTTTTATATGACCATTATTCATGTTTTTTTCTGTAGTATAATATAAACTGAGAAGTGAGATAAACGATCTTCTATTTACCCCCCAGGGCCTCACATACATGACCAGTTTTTTAGCAGTGGGCTATACCTTCTGCTATCCATTTTCTTTGAGACCGAGTCTCATTTGGTTGCTCAGACAGGCCTCGTATACTCTCTGTAGCCCAAGAGAAGAGTTGATCTGTAACTCTCCTGCCTGAACTTCATGAGCAGCTGGGATTACAGGCCTGCCCCACCATTCCTGGGTCTTTTTATTTTTTAATTTGGAGACACAGATGGATGTACAAGTATTAGAAAAGTTGTAACCAGCACATATGGAGAGTTGGTTTCTTCAACTTTTGAAATCAGGATCCTTTTGCACTAACTTAGGGCCCTGAGTAGTTGTAGGGGCTTTTGGGTGGGGGGAAAAGCTTTGCAAACTAAGAAAATATACACATACTGACAAATGATGACCCTCACTATGAGTCTACATGTCTACATGAACAAACATATTGGTCTTAGGAAATGATGTTCATTGTCTTAAATGGTTGCACTGTATTTTTGTTAATCACTTATTAACACATTTCCATCTTTTGCAGTGAGAAGGTTGGTGAAAGCACAGAACACCCTGGAAACTGTCCATATTCTAGGACTGTAATATTTCTGGTTGTCACAACCCTTTCTATTTTCCTGAAACTGCATACAAAGTGCCTCCCGGGAGTGGGTAGCAGTCAAGAACACACAGGCTGAAACCACTAGGCACTGGCCAAAACAGGCACTTTTTGGTTGCCAGACTAGGCCAGGCTTTTGCATTGGATATCATCTACACTCTGGATAAGTGTTAAATATTCAAAGATGATTTTTTTTTCTTCATTGGATTAAGTAATACATGAACTTGGGAGAGGGAAAAATCCTGTGGAGGTGAGGTGCTCTTACCGTCCAGGTGGCAGACTTGGCCGTGCTTGATTGCTGGAAGGACACATCGAAGCTGTGTGGGCCTGGGTAGTCTGTGTTGGAAGGGATGGCAGGGGACGGAGAGAGGGCATCAAAGGTAGAGCTGGGCTGTGCATAGGGCGAGGGCGCCGTCACGCTGTTCTGCGCATGGTCTGTGTTGTAGGGGCTGGTGGACGAGGAGCCGTTCTGAATCTGCTGGTCCATGCTGTTCAGGAGCCCCAGGTTCGTGTACTGTGGCTGCAAGGATACCCACACACCTCGACATTAGTCGTGGAAGTCACGGCTCATTGCTCAATAAAATAATTAAATCAATCAATCACAGGCATCATTTGGTGTGCTTTGTGAAAACCTGGACATGAGGTTCCAAAACACTTCATGTAACAAGTAAAGCCAGCCATCTGTGGTACAAGAAAACACCCAGTACAGCTGGGAGAGTGTTGGAAAATAGAATATATGCTTACTCAAAACAGGCACAGAGTGCCCAGAGCACAGTACTGCTTAGAAATTATTTTAAATAAATGCTGTCTGTATTATTGCTTTCTTAAAAAAAAAAAAAAATAAGCCTCACACAATATTCACAAGGAAAGAGACCAACTGATAGATTTGTCGAAGTTTAGCATCAAATTGTTGTACATATAGGGCAAAATTTCTTTTCAGCATTAAATCTAAATTATTTGACAGTCCAGCACTCTGGTGAGCAGTTTGAAATGATTGGTGGGGCAGACTGGGCAGCATGGTCACAGAGACCCCACCACACATTTTAGTGTTTGAGATGGAATTTTGTTGTGTTTCTCAGATTAGATTCAAACTCTCCACTTAAGCCACCCTCCTGCCTCATCCTCCTGAGTAGCTGGGACTCCCGGGCCTGAGCCACCATGATCAGCTTTACCACATGAATTGAAAAGTAGCCCGCTCGCGTGTGGTATTCTGGTCTAATTTTTAAGAATGTGTACATTCATCCTTTTGTAGCAATTCTGTCTTCTCTACAGTAGAGCATATGTAGTGAAAAGACACCACCTAGTTAGGGATAGAATTCTGTGGTGGACATAATTCAAAATTACTTGGGCTCATGCAGCTTTAACCGACAGACGCTGTTGTCTTCTGTATGAAAAGACCAAGGGCAGAGTTAGTTTTCAGTGAGATGTTTATGGAAGGAATCCAGATCTTCCCATTTACCTGCAAAACAACTTTCTCATGACCAGAGAGGGGAAGTGATTTACCCAAGCACTGCCCACCAGCCAGAGTAGAAATTCTGAAAGAGCCTTAAGCCAGCTGGCAGTGACAGCCTTCCCTTAACCAAAATTCCAATGAGCCTGTTTCCAGGGGGGCTACTGTCTTGTGGGGCTTGTAGAACAGTTTTTCTGGGGAGGGGGGACTTTTTGACCCCTGCAAGTCTTGGTTTCTCTTCCAGCTAATGAAGGGGAGGAGAGTCCCCCACTGGTACATATTTTTAAAAGGAAGTAAGGAGGTTAGTTTCTCGATAGAAATATAACCCCAAGAGACCCAGGCTGTGGAAAATCAGGAAGAACCAAAAGAATGTTTTAAAAGATTTTTTTAAAAAAAATAAAAAAAAAAAAAAAGGAAGGAAGAAAAAAAAAGGAACGAGGGCTTGAAGTTAGCTTTCCGTTTCAAATGTTCATAACATAATAACATGATTTAATCCAACTTCAATCTGTCATAGGAGGAAATAAATGGACTCGGTCATTCCATTCAGTCCAGAAAGCATCTGCTGAAATGCCCCCAGCCGCACACCCATTCCATTACATTCATGCATCCACATTCCACTGCCGAATGCCACCTCCCATTTGCTCTGTAAATAACTATTAATCTATTTACACTTATCCCCATGCTGACAAGAGCAGCTGTTTGTCTCGTCTTCTCTCCCTTCTGACTTTGACAGCTCCTACCCCTCTCCTACCCTCGATGATCCTCGACCTCCCTTCCAGACAGGTGTGGCTAACCTACAGGTAGACACCGAGGGAAGAAAAAAAAATAATAAAACCCAAGGAGGTACAGATATGGCTACATCTTGCTGAACTAAAGCTTTTCGGTACCAAGCCGGGGCCACAGTTCGGGAAGGGGATTGAAGAAACCATATTTGTGTTTAGTTAAGGGTCGGTATACAAAGCACTCTTGAAAGGAATCAGATAATGCCAGCAGGGGCACGTGCTTCCCTACAGCAGGACAATTAGGGAGGTAGTGGTCCCTGACAAAGAGGAAAAAGCAGCCAGCTGAACACTTTCTCGAAGGCAGTAAAATGACTGCCGGCCCACCCCTCCCTCCCCCTCCGGCTACACAGCAGTAACATCAACTAATTGTGGGCTTGGACGAGAACAAAGAAACACCGGCCCTTTGAATTCCCCACCCCCTACCCCCCAAATACATATAAAGAAAGAAGTTGGGGGCCCAGTTTTAAAAGCCAGTAAGCAAACACATCAATTCTCCAAGGACTTAAGAAAAAGTAAAATTCCATTTACAGAGGCAGCTCCAAAGCAAGCCCCGCCCTGACTGCAGGGCTGAACACCAAAGAAGAAACTTCCAAAGAAGAGTCTTCTCAAACTCACCGGAACCCGGTGGCTGCTAACAGATCTGCCCCTAATGCCATGTTAAGTTCTATGCAGTTGAGTAAAATCCTAGACTAGGACTAGAAATGAGTAGGAACAGCATGGTTTGTTCTTATGAATCCGTGTGTGTGTGTGTGTGTGTGTGTGTGTGTGTGTGTGTGTGTGTGTGTGTGTGTGTATTAACCCTAGAGTTCTCAGTATTGTGCAAACTCAATTTGTTATCCAGCAATAAAAAGCAGAAATCATTTCAATTTAAATTCTTCCCAAATTATGCTTTAAAAAGAAATCAGTCCAACAAGTGTATTCAATTGTCTCATTTTTTTTTAAATTATAAATCCAGCACTACTAATTGTGGGCTTAGATGAGAACAAAGCAACACGTCTTTGACTTTTTTCTAATGTCTGTAAAGAGAAATGAGTAAACAAGGACTATAGTAAAAAACGCACATGTGGAAGTCATCCTTGGACACATTTCTTAGTTTGTTGGGAATCAGTAAGTCACAAGCCACAGGAACTAGATCAGTAGAAGCTAACTGAGCATTGGAACTACCCAGCATTTGAAAGAGTTCTCACTTGCTTACTTCTTTTATTGGAGGAATAACTGCATACATTGACTTAAGAAGGGCAAACCAACATTGCTCAGAATTATGAGTTCCCCAGACAGGACAGGAAAATAAATTCTAGTACTTAATGCAAGATGAGAACTCAGGGCCTCTTCTTACATTGTTAAGAATTTTAAAAGTCCAATATCAGAAAGTTAAGTAACGCCCGATGGCATTCTAAAGATGCTCGCTGTGGGTCTCAAATGGAATGTTGTAAGGTAACTGTGTTTAATCCTAATATAAACCATCATCCTTTGAAGCTGGGCAGGTGGGAGAAGACTCATTTCCCAGTGAAGCAAAGCTGGTGGGCAGGAGGAAACAGTACTCTCCCCTTCTTTCCACTCAGCAATACCACGTGAACACAGAGGGAAAATGAGTTACGCCGGAATGCTGATCGATTATTGATGATAACAAGGAAGAGTGTCAGACACTAAAATGTGACATCTGTGCATCACACACAAACACCACCCTGGGAAGAATTCCATGGCCATTGGTGCTTCTTATGTAACAAAGAGTGTCAGGGTATTTGAAATGAAATATAGCGGAGTGTATCTTTCTAATGACAAAGTGTCTTCATCTCAGAATATCAATAAGGTGACCTGCAGGTGCACACATACACAGGAAGAATGGATGCCCATGTTATGTGCCTGTCCTGTCATATCAGAGAGAAAAGGCAGCTTACTTTTCAGAAAATATGAACACAAAAATGGGTACAATTTGTCTATTACCTGCGATGCTCCTTATAAAATAAGACAATGGATTTCCCCTGACTTGAGCCAGCTAGTTAATCTTCTGGATAAGACTCCCTGACTGGGCCCGAAGTATCAACCATGCTTATCCCTGGAGCATCTTCACATTGAAAGGATGAGGCACATGGTGCTCGTGAGGATATACTACACTCTTGGATCACGGAATGTTAGGAACACAGATATGGTTGTGACAAAAATAGGGATCCCCATGGCCAAAAATCTGTGTGCATTCATCAGGAGCAAAGAACACATACAGCTGTCGGTTCCCAAAGCAGAGGACGAGCATTTCCTCTGTCTTCTCCTTCCATGTAAGTCCTGCCTTCTACAGCTGACTGCGGACTCTGAGCCATGGCCTCCTAAACTTCAGGATTAAGACAGCATCAGATCTGTATGATCTTTCAAAATGTCTTAAGAATACCACCCTCGGAGCTTCATTTTATTTTTTCTTTCCTCAGTTATGGTCTTGTGACCACTTTAGATTGTGAACACGTCATGGACCTGAATTTTCTTCATAGGAGCTGAATAATATTTTGATATGTTGCTGTAAATAAAGTCCTTCTTAAACCCTTGAGGTTACAGTCATTTGAAGCCCAAAATTTATCACCCTCCCGTACAAAATTAATACCAATAAAGTACCAAATCAAGTTATTTGAACACAGCCTTGCAAATGAGCCCCAAGTAAACCATGTGTGTAAAAAGAAAAATCTCTCCCCACGAATTCACCTGTATAAGGCAAAGATCCCAATCTCTCCTTCTTAAGATATTGCTGTCTACGCTAGGTATGTTGAGGTCATGTGGAAAAATAACTAACATTTCATCTGGAAAAATGTTTTTGGCTCTCGAGTGGTTGTTAGGTAAGGCTAGGGGATTAGACATCCTTAGCACTTCTCATATTTCTATTTGGATTTTAGAAGTGTAACAGAACTCTCAGACTGGTGGCATGGGATTAAGTCTTGACACTACCAGCAATGTGCTCTTCCCCCCAGGGTGATGAAGGTGAGTAAATTTGACCCCAGCTTCCTATGGGCTAAGAATCTGCACAAAACCAGGAAGACAGCGGAAGGGCAGCAGTTCGCACATTCTATCAACCCTTCGGGGAAGCCATATTAAAATAATGCCATGATCCTTCTCTCACAACAGGTTCATAATGAAATCACCATTTTGTTTTTGTTGAGATTTGCCTGGTCAAACCTAAAAAAAAATGAACTGTCTCAGTGGCATAGCTAGTTTCCTCAGTGGGTATAATCTTCTGCCTCAGGCTTAATGGAGGGGTCTTTGTTAGCCTTCTGCAGCTCCTCTGGGAAAAGAAAACAGTTTCTTCAT